GAAAAATACAAAAATTAATTTCATTATAAGCTAAATTACGAACTTTAACTGATTTCTGCTAACATCGACCTCGACCAATCAGGTGCCCTCAGACTGCCTCCACACCAAATGTATCAATCGACGAGTTATATTTTTAAAGTTGGAACCTTACTAAATTCATAGAGCTGTAATGTACTAGAGAGAGAAACGGCAACCCTGAAGGGGAACAGGAATGCGAACTACGTGACATTTGGAACATTTCCCAAATCGCATTTCCCCGGATCTTCCTTCCCATTAGTTCTATGGAATTTTGTGAGAAGCAAATGTTTTGCGTGTACGCGCATTGTTTCGGACTTCAAAAATGGTACTTTCGTGACCGCATATAGATGAAAAATTCCAGATACGTGAAAGGTGGAGGAGTAACATTCACAGCTGAGCTTTTTCTAATGTTTTAAAACGTAATTTATATAAAATGTAAAGGTTTTTTTTATCCACTCTACTTGCCGTTTTCTAACAAAAAATAGATTTTCTAATTTTATAATATATGCATACTTGAAATAACATTTAAATAAAAGTATCTTAATATATATGTATGTTTCTAATAACTGTGTTCCGAAAAAAATGTTAAATTTTAGTAATACAATATAATTTTAATTAGTCTAGTATTCTGCTTGGCGACATTTTTCATACGCCAACAGACTGCTTTGAATGCGTTTGTTTATATATTCTTTGTATGCGTTTGCTCATGCGGACATGTGCGAAGTAGTAATGTAATGTTATTTAATACTTGGTAATGTTGATGTAACACTGTGTAAGAACTGAATAAATTATTATGTTTTTTTTTTTTGGGGGGGGACATGAATGACTTTATTTTATCCCCTTTTCTTGCATCCAAATATAACAAATATGTTTACTTCAATCACGTATTTTCTTCTTATATCATGTTTCTGGCATTTATTCCAATATTAAGAATTTGTTAAGTATTAAGAAAATAGAAATTATAGAGCAGTTTAAATTTCAAAACTTTAATATTTAATTTTTAAAATAATGAACATTATTTAAATTTTACCTTCTAAATTATTTAAAATAAGTGCGACTACATTGTGCAACGTGCATAATACATATATATGTATTTTTGCTAGTAAAAGGAAGTCTTAATTTACCACCTTTTAGTTTCATAATTTAATTATTTACCAGTCTCTCTCTTCCTTTTAACTTATATCTGCTATATTGACATTCATTTTTAGTTCAATTAATTTAATATCTTTCTCACTTTGATTCGCCTACTTTGTAGTTCTCTGTAATACACCGTATTAACATTAAATTTCCTTTCGTATTAATATTAAATTTCCTTTTTGTACTATTTTCTGTTTTCACTCATTTTCTTATGTTATCTATTTTTTTTTTATTCTGTCCTAAGTATTAAAAACCTTCTTTTTATTTATTTATTTACTTATTTATTTTTTAGTTTGTTATTAGTTTATTATTATTATTTAGTTTATTATTATTAGTTATTATTTAGTTTGTTCTCTCCAGTTTTTTCTATTTTATTTTAAATTTTGTAGACGCCGAGGAACATATTACAAAATATTATTCTACAGAATGAAAATTATTTAAATTTTAAAAATTAAAATTTAAAATATTTTTAAAAATAAATTAAAAATTTTAAAAATTAAAATTTAAAATAAAGTGTCCAATTTTAGGGAAATTAATAATTTTGGCTGGTGTTTATCGATCTAACCTCTTCTGCAAATTCAACGGCAGCTTCTGCGAAATGACATCTTTCCAAGGTCGCATTTCGAACTAAGAGAAAAGAGAGGAAAAAATTGCCAGCCATGGCGATAGTACGCCAAAGTCTGGGTTCAGTTCCATTTCATGCCCAAACTCCTGCAGCTCATTCCTGTGCCGCTTTTTCACCCGGTTTTGAACGGCGATACTCCGTCTAGTATATAACAGGTCTATGACTAAATTCATGAACTTTCATTATTGTTTTTCGCCTTGTGCGATGATGTACAAGTGTACATCTTTCATTATTTAAACCAAGGAAATGTCTAAATGGTTATAATTTTCAGTGTACTGGTAAAAACTCTTAGTTCTTGAGGCCAGAAATAAAGATACTATCAAAGATCTAATTCGTTAGATTTTATCTTTTTTTTTTTTTTCTTTTACTTTGTATACTTACTTTCTAAGTTAGAAACTTTGTAAATATTCACCGAAGCCAAACTTAGTTTTTACTATATTAACATCACTTTGATTGAAATTTCATGACTTCTCATGTGACTCATGACTTCTCATGTGACTTCTCTGTGCGTTCGTCCTTTAGATAAAGCACCTTATTTTGAAAATATAGCAAATGTTACTGTTACGCATTTCAACTGGTAAAAGCTCTCAGTAGCTATAGGCCAGGAGTAAATTACGATACTCGTTAGTTGTTTTATGAATTTTGTTTAGAACACTGCTGTTATTTAATGTAGCGAATTCGCGGTGTAGTCGGATGAGCTTTCTTTACGTTTTCTGTTTTAAATTAAGTTCTGAACGTTTTTAGTAGTTCAAAAGGTAACTACTGTGAGATATTGGAATATTGTACGAATATCTGAGGAACTTTAAGCATATTGTTTTATTTGCTGTGATAATAATAAATTTTATTCATTTTCCATCGGACGTCTGCACTCAGTTCATGACGAACCTGTATGTATGCAACAATTTTTGGGGTCAGGAGTGGGGTTTTTGAATGCCAATTACAAGAGCGATGGAAGAACAATTTAGGCAACTGATGACTGCATTTACTGCATTCCAAGAAAAGATGGAAGGGGCCCTAAACTATGTTAAAGAAGAGATGAAACGGGGCAGGATTCCATTAAAGAAAATGAAAGCTGGTCAAGAAAGATTGAAGCAGATCAAGAAAAAATGAAAAGAGAAATTACTAAAATAAATATTAATAAAATAAAACAGATTTATGTGAATTCAGTGATTTCCGTTTATGCGCGTTTCATATTTATGAATCTCAAAGAAATCGCCTTGAATTAAGCTAAATTAGAGAAATATATCTATATTTTTGGATACATCTTTCCACATGTTCAGTTGTGTGAATACTTTACTTACTTTTATCGCTATACTGCCCAAAAATTTGTAAATTTATGCAAAAACATTTTAACAACAGAAAAGTTAGTTTATCTTCATCAAATGCACAAATTATATTCTTAACAGTTCAAAAAACTTTAAAATGAATAATAATTAATACATAAAGAAAAGCTTTATTTTACTTAACACCTTTAAAATTCATAAAAATAGTAACAATTGGTGTTTTACTTTTCATGAAAATTATCAAATAAATACCTAAAACGTTCAAATTATACAGTTTAAATCCTAGCATACATCATTGTATGTTAAGGAACAAAGATACCAGCTATAAACAGAAACATCAAAATGTATTTAACATATTTTGATTATTATTAAGTCTTTTTTTTACATCTGGAAAGAAAACAACATGACATTGGGATATTTTTTACCATAGTTATCAAATTACATAAAAAGAAGAAAATCAATACTTACGCGTGAAAAGTAATCCCAGGAATCTTTTTCGAAAATCTGTTTGTGCATCCATATACAACACAAGCTGACATGCTTCCAAAAGAAAAGAAAGAAAAGAAAAAAATATTGCAATTACAGGCTTCCTTGCACAAGTCACAGCGATAACAGGAACATGGCCGCCAAGCTTCACCGTTTGAGTTGAACCTTCCCTCCTTCTATTCTAACCTCCTTGGTTAAACCCAAGGAGGTTAGAATCCGGTTCAACTCAAACGGTGAAGCTTGACGGCCATCTTCCTGTTATCACCGTGACTTGTCCAAGGAAGTCTGTCATTGCAACATTTTTTTCTTTTCTTTTTGAAGCATGTCAGCTTGTATTGCATATGGATGCACAAATAGATTCTCGAAAAAAATTCCGGGCATTATATTTCACACGTAAGCATTAATTTTCTTTTTTTTATGTAATACGACATTTATGTCAAAAAATATCACAATGTCATGTGGTTTTCTTTCCAGATGTGAAAAAAAGGACTTAAAATAGGTTATTTAATATAACTATAATCAAAATATATAATAATACTTTTAATGTTTCTGTTTATAGCTGGTATCTTCGTTCCTTAAGATACAATGCTATATGGTAGGATTTAAATTATATAATTTGAACGTTTTAGTTAATTCGTTCGTTTATAACTTTCACGAAAGTAAGAAATCAATTGTTACTATTTTTATTAATTGTAAAGGTGTTAAATAAAGCAATGCTTTTTTTTAATATATTAATTATTCATTTTTTTAAGTTAAGATAAAACTATTCTGTTGTTGAAAATTTTTTGCGTAAACTTACAAATTTCTGGGCAGTATAGAGATAAATTAAGTAAAATATTTACACAATTGAACATGTGGAAAGATGTATCCAAAAACTAAATTAAATAAATAACCAAACCAAAACCCAAAAATAGGCGTATTTTGCAATTCAACTTAATTAAAGGTTCTTTAAGATTAATAAATATGAAATGCGCATAAACTGAAATCAATGAATTCACATAAATCTGTTTTATTTCATTAAGATTTATTTTCTAACCTAAGCAAATCCGTGAAATATGCAGAAACATCATTTTTAAAGGCTTTAATGTTATGCGCATGGATTTAGATTTCGAACTATTTCTTGAGAATAATTGCTGTACATAGTAAATTATGGATATCATCTTTATTACTTTAAAACAAAAATTTAACAATAGCGAGGGATTTCATTATAAATTTAACATATTTTTACTGGAAAATAAATGCACGGCTCAGCTTAGAAACACGTACATGTCACTGCCGTAATGCAATGTTTTGAAGTCACAAACATGGACGCCGCTTGTTCGGCGGAGTTTCATTCCCCGATAGTGGAGGAAACTGCGAACTCTCCCTCCTTCTATTCTAACCTCCTTGGGTTTAACCAGCAATACGCGCTTTGTTTTTTAAGGTCTTTCTGCCCGCAGAGATACAAATCAAAAATTGCAAAGAAGGAATACGAGCTCACAACAATTATGTTCCCAGGACTAAAAGACAAATTGTATTAATTTGTTACTCTATAACATTAATGACATTTATTTCAAATTAATTCTTATTTTTGATTGAGCATGTAAGCAAAAAATATATTTTTTCGTCTTTGTGGCCACAGGCTTTTGTTTATATTTGGTATTTATATTTTACGAAACACGGCATTAAACTCACGGATGTTTCTTGATTAAACTGAGTCTGTATAAAGAAGAATCAACGAAACCCTCCATTAACCATCACATCTACAGAAATACGAATGAACTCATGACGCCAAATAACTTGGTTACATAGATAATACATGTTCGTACAATCCAGAAAATTCTCACTACTAACTCCTGTTTTTTTTTTTTCAAACTTTTCCCTAGCGAAGAATGGTTTTCGTTGTCTCTGTGTTTTTTTAGTTTCACACTATGTCGACTAATGTAGATAAAAAATCGTATATATGTGATATATGTGAGAAGTCTTTTACACTAATGTGTAATTTAAAGATGCATCTATGTACGCACAAAGATGAGAAACCACGTGTGTGCGAAAGGAGTGGCAAGTCCTTCAGACAAGAAGATAGTTTGTCCTTCAGACAAGAAGATAGTTTAAAGAAGCATATGCTTATTCAAACTGGTGAAAAACCATTTGTGTGTAATATGTGTAATAAGTCATTTACACTAAATAGCAACTTAAAACGGCATTTTCTCACGCACACAGGTGAGAAGCGTTATGCATGTGTAATGTGCAGCAAGTGTTTTGCTGCTAAGTGTAATTTAAACAGGCATATGCGTATCCACCGAAATGAAAAACCTTATGTATGTCAAATATGTAATTTATCCTACGTACAAAAATGTAATTTGGAGCGACATATGAATGTGCATAACAGCCAGAAAAGACATGAATGTGACACCTGCAGCAAAACGTTTGCAACAAAGGATTACTTGCGAAATCACTACCGTATACATTCAGGAGAGAGACCGCATGTATGTGATGTATGCTGCAAATCATTTATACACAGATCTGATTTAAGCAGGCACATTAATATTCACTCGGGAGAGAAATCATACACGTGTGAAATATGTGGCAGATCATTTTTAATGAAGAGTAGCTTGTTGTGTCACACTCGTATACATTCAGGTGATAAACCTCATGTGTGTGATAAATGTAATAAAGCATTTGTATCAAAGACAGATTTAAACGTGCACATACGTAGACACACCGGTGAGAAGCCGTATAAATGTATTATCTGTAGTAAATGTTTTTCATGGAAAGTTTATTTGAATTTGCACATGCGGACCCACAGTGGAGAGAAACCATATGTTTGTGACATGTGTGGCAAGGCTTTTGGATGGAAATGTAGTTTAAATGCACATCTTCGTCTCCACAGTAGTGAAAAAAAGTTTGTATGCGATATATGTAGGAAAGCATTTGCCCAAAAAGATCATTTGAATGCTCATTGTCTTACACATTCAGAAGTGAAACCGTGTATTTAAATTTATGTTAATTTTCATTTTTTCATAAAAGTTAATCTTTAATTGTGAATTAGAGGTAGCAGTTTTTGATGAATGCTTATGTAAACATGCATTTGGATATAGTAACGTGAACATTAATGAGTTAAATATGCTAAATTGCTTCAATATTGAAACTGGGAATCTGTTTCAAGGGCCTCAGATTAGTTGAGAATATAAGGTAACAACTGTGAACATAAATGAAGGAGTGAAATTTTTATTAAATATGGTCTAAATTGTGTAAAAATAAATAAATATATAAAGCAGACATATTCACTTTTTTATATATTTAGAATTATGTAATATATTTATATGTGTATGTATATTGGTTTAGACCAAATAGCTCCCAACTTTATTTTTTTCATATAACCGTAATAAGATTTTATGATTCTAAAGTATCTCTATGTCTAGTTAAAAAAAATCCCTTCAAACATAAGCCCCCTCATGCCTTTCTGGTAATTTGTAATACATCTTCCTATTATTTTAATGTAAAAAAAATTATGAACTGCAATTAATAACTTGGATAAAAAGAAACAGTAAGTTGTTCTTTCTTAGAGAATGATAATTTTAAGACTACTTTGAAGCAATATGAGATAATTATGCTTCTCACTTGTTTGGCAGAATAATGTCTGAATGAGCTTGAGATTTCTTATAAGTGAATTATTATATTTTTTCTTCATTTGTAAGTGGAAGCTTATTTTATGATGAGAGATTGTTAAGTATTTTGTACCCCATAAATGGTATGATTTTTTATTTCAATAGATTTCAGATTCAGGTTGCAAAAATCAGTTCATCATAAAATCAATTTTGTCAGGCACTTTGAAAACAATTATGGAACTTCTCTATAATGCTAAATTGAGTATATTTATTTTTGAAAAAATATCAAATAATTGCACGAGTCAGTGAAGTCATTCATCACCATGAAATTTCAAGCATAGCTGAATAGGGAATCTTCAAAAGTGTTTGGTGCATTTGTGAAATTGGAGCTTTTACCCATGATTGTGTTAGCTCTCCGAGAAGATATACATTTTAAGTATTTATTCATTACTTATCTAACACTTTACTTTTACAGTTTTTTGAAAGAGCTAAATTAAAACAAAATTCCAAACTCAAGCTTGTTTGAATATCACAAGATCTAATTGCCTGCCATTTCTTTTAGATGATATGCAATAACAGAGCAGAAAACGGATGACTACATGTGATGCATTAGGAGTCAAGAAATGGTTAATCTTTGGATTATGGTAACTTGGCGATTTTTTTGCGACCAACTCTGCTACAGCAACCTGCTAGTTTTTTTTTTTTTGGACGCCATTTTGTTTTCACGAAGTAAAGGCATGTTTTTTTCCCTGCTCTCAACATTTTTTTCCAACAATCTGCTAGCCGAATTACGCTTATGCTAGAACTTTTATGGAACAAAAGTGCTTAATCATGACGAAGATTAGGTGCAAAATTTTGAGAAAGTGCAGAATCGCCCACTGCTCCACGTTTTTAAGAATTGCACATACATGGTATCCATGTACACGTCGCCCTATTTTCACTTAAAAAAAATCTCAGAAATTGCACAAAAATGGCATTGCGCACACTCTTGACTTTATCCATGTACACTGCTAGTCCTAGCTAGTAACCTTTATCACCTTATCAAAATGTCGCCAAACTACCTTTTACCATATTCCAAAGATTAGTCCAAGAAATATATGAGATGATGAACCTAGTTATAACGCACATTTTGGTCGATAATAGTGATATCAGAAATCTTCTTAAAAAAAACTGGTACTTTTCCGTTTCGCCGGCGCAAATCTCGCCAAGCAGACTTTGTTGGCGACAACATACAGTATACACATAAAAAAATGCTAACAGATGTTAGTTCTAATAATTTTTTATTTTGATATGGTTTGATTTTAATATGGTTTAAAATTTTGTAAAAAGCCAATAAATAAAGAGAATAAATTTGTAAAAATACATTAATTTAAGAATTTACTATGCTTTCATGGTTCACATCCTGATTCGCCGGTTCTTATCACATGACCCCGAGTGATCTCATCTCGCGTAAACTAAGCTAACAAAAATCTAATTCTCTCAGTAAATATCTACATTAATTTTAAGCTAAATCTTAATTTAGTTTACTTGAAATAATTTTTGCAAGTCTAAATGCAAGAATTATTTCAATTCGTACGAATAGCTTACTCAGAAATTATGTAAAACCGCAGTGCTTTACTTCGCTAGTGCATTCTCATTAGAATGGATGAATTTAACCCTTGATTTTGCCTTTCTATATTTTCGCCTTCGGGTGAGCGGTGTGATTGTTACCCTAATTACCTTAATTACCGCGAATGGCCTTAGGGCATAAAATTGAACTATACCTGGTAAAAATTGTTGTATGCCAGTATTGAAAGAAACAATCAATCTGATAAGAAATGGCTGCGACTTGTTTTGAAAATGAAGCATAAAAGGTTACCAGCGAAGATATTCCTTTTGGCATCGTTGTACCATTATTGGCGACTTTATCGTTTGTGCCGGCAAAACGGAAAAGTACCAAAAAACTACTTTTGTTTCTATTTAATGAAAAATTATTCTTCAGAGCATTTTCTTTTTATCAGCATTTGTTGCAATTCTTAGTAGTTTCTTCCGATAGTAATAATTTTGGCACGTACATCTGACTAAACCATCACAAATCCCATTTTGAGAATTACTCACTTAAATACTGAAAACAGATGTTGATGTCATAAAGTATTAGTTGCTGACATGGTGAATTTTTAATCTTTTTTCTACTAGCAAAGCTGGAAGAGCAAGTGCAACTTGTCAGAGATGAAAGTTGGGTTCAGAACGATTTGGTGTAACTTTACTTTGATTGGCTAATTAATACCTTCCTAAAATTATTACTGGTGGCTTATTTAGCATTATGTAAGAATCATATTACAGCTCTTAATTTTGAAATGTTGCTGTTTAAAGAGGTTCATTTAACTGGTGTGTTATTTAGCATTATGTAAGAATCATATTACAGCTGTTAATTTTGGAATGTTGCTGTTTAGAGAGGTTCATTATAAGCCATTACTTTCAAATTGGATTTGCAAATTAAAGTTAATATTTTTGTTCACAGGTTTAGCATACACACAGTGCTGGATCTTGGGTTTTCCAAAGTGTGGCAAAAACTTAAAACTGCTGCCTTCGCTCATTCTTCTTTAAGTTTTCCTAACAAGTTAAAAAAAAAAAAAAAAAGAAGTAGGAAAGGATATGAGGTGAAATGTAAAATCCATTTTACACTAAGAATTCTTAATGTGCCATTTTTTGTTATAAAGGGAAGATGGACACCAAAAGTCACATAATTGAAAAACCGCATGACCCCTTCTAGGGAAGTCACCTTTGTGATGATAAGCTTATCTTCCAGCTCAGGCACAAGCGCATGTAATCCTCCAGTCCATGCCAGTGTTCTTTTTGTCATTCTAAGGAAATTCCCTCGTAGCTTTTCACCAATCCATTAAGGTTAGGTTAAGATATGAATGTGGCAAATCTACAAGGGATTATTGCTGTCAGGGAGGAATGCCCTTGTGGAAGACTTTCCTTTCCATTTCTTGGCTTGTTTTCATGTTTCACATGGGGTAAACCTCAAAAACCAATCATGCAGCCAACCAGTTCACCTGGTTTTATACCCAAGCCAGGTCAAACCACTAGTATTCAGTGGTCTTAAATGCTAGATCACTGGTGAGGCCATTGAAAGACAAAATATGTGTTACTGCTCATACTTACCTTTCCTCTAACACTTAAAATGTTATGGAATTAGTAACGAAAATTAAAGTTTTACTGTACGAACCTTTTATTCTTCAAATAAGTCTATAGTATTGTCATAATTAATTTGATGTGTGGTTTGATTTTTAATTGCCAGGATCACAGGACTTTATAAATGTTCCTGGTTCTTGATGGTCACGGATAGTTCTTAATAAGTTTTAATTAGCTAAAACTTCAATTACAGCTTGTGGATGTGGTTGGAAGCATAGAGTAAATCCGCAGCATTATACAAATATTGTAAAAGACATCCCGCAAATTATAGGAGATCAGTTAACAACAGATAGAAATCATTAGCCTTTTTCATGTTGCTGAATAATAGTGGGGCTTTTTTTTTTTTTTTTTTAAAGGCGAGTTCCTGTCTGAACTCTATGCTTAGATCTCGCTCATATTTTCGGTAAGAATTGCTCCATTCTTTTGCTGTTCTACAGTTGACATATTCACTATTCCATGACCATTTAGAATAGCAAAATTTGAATTCAGCCTAGTATTACTGTTAACCCTCATTTTAATTTCTGATAAGATTCAATCAAATAAGTCAATTTGATGCAGTCTTTATTGCTATAGAAAATAGCTAAAGAAGTCAAAGTGTTCATAATTCGTCTTTGCACAATTCATCTAATTGGTTTTTGCTCTTTAAAATTCATTTCTTTGTCAGAATAAGCTGAATTTTAGTTCTGTTTTAGAATAATCTGTCCAATATTCCATAGGATTTTCTCTACAGCATTTTTTGCAAAGTTTTAGTCAGACATTAATGCGATGGAACATGCAAAAATAATAACTTGCTTTTGAATTTCAATATCGACTCGATTGATATCTTGAAGAATATAAGCCCAAACTCTTACATTAATAATGAATTCAAAATTTTTCACACCATATAGCAGATATTTTTACTTTGATTCTCCATTAAGAGCACATGTGTAATCTCTGCACATCTTTAATTTCATTTAAGCATTTTGCTACTTCTGGTAAATTAATTAGAATGACTTTCACAGCTACATATTTTGCCAACCATCACCTCTGGCAACTTCCTGTTTGTTGTTCTCATCAAGTAGTGCAAAATGGCATTATCTTTGCTCTTTTTCTGTGTTTCATAAACGAGAGTTTTTAGGTGCAATCATGATCTCTATTACCTTAAATGAAATACATTAAGACTTGCCTTAATAAGAACTACTAAAAACTGACTTAATTACTCTTGACAGTCCTGAGACTGCATTTGTGGTTGTGAGCACCAACTGACTTGGTTGCGTCTTGCTAAATATCGTGTGGACGACTGAAAGCACATACACTTAAAAAAGAGAATGAAAGAAACCTAAAACTAATGAATCCAGCTTTAAAAAGTCAAAGCATGCGCCGCTGTTTTGAATAAAGTCAAAAAAAAAAAAAAAAAAAAAAAAAATTTGAGAGTGATGCCTAATGGTGAAAAGATTCCTCAATCCTGGATGGTTTATTTCTCGTATAACTAATAACCTGTACTGCTTCTGCTGTTG